AAAAATATACTAATATTTCTCAAATAATGTGCCAAACAATATTTTGGGAATATGGGTAGAAATATGGAAGAAAATGCACCCAACAGAAAACAAACTCAATAGGACTTTTGAAGATAGAAGATCGATAAATCTTTTGGTAATGAAAGGTTAAATTTTGGTGACTGAAATTTATCAGAATTTGATTTGGGAGGGGCAATTACATAAATCTTAACTGTTCGATTGCTTGTGATTGACATGATCGATGAGAGTATGATTTGAAGGGTTTCAACGAGTGATGATTAAAAAAGAGAACTTAAAATATAAATATAAATAATAAAATAATATTTTAAAAGCTGGACGCTATTATTTAGATGCAAAATGTCGTCTACTCAAAATTTTATTCTAAAACTTGGTGTGAATTCTTTGTCAGCCTGCGGTCATGTTGGACCTTGGAAATGCTTGGATGTTGAAAAGGTCATTCGTTTTCTTTTCAATTTCGTTAAACAAATGCTTCATCGTTTTTATCCAAAGAAAAACTTTATATCACACCGCCATTATACTGCTAATGAATTTTGGTAAAAGTTTCAGAAATTTCACCTTAAGTTTCATGGATCCTTCAATTCAAGTTTACAAACAGACAAAAACTCTGAAGAAGATTGAATTGAAATGTCTCATGGTGAAACTTGATGGGGTTTACCAGACCCTGTAAACAGTCAACATTTGAATTTTGATTGCCATTTAAAGAGAAAGATAGGTTTATAAGACATGCTAACGACTTATTTCATGTAAGCTAGAAATTAGTACTCAGTCTTAAATAATTGGACCCACCTCCCATTGTTTCCAGTAGACTTGATGAATTATTTCTGGAAGTCTGGCTCCATGTTAGGTAGAAATATAATTTCGCCATTGATAGTTTACTCGACTTATAGTCACATACGACCATTTTGTTATTTACTCTAGTAATTACTAAACTCTGAAACATTGGATACCAAACTCTTTCCTGGAATCCATTATTTTCCATCTCAACAGTCATTTTATGTGGGATTATAACGGGCACAAATAGTCAGGGGTTAAAGAGTCTAAAATGTTGAAGAATCTGGGTTGGAGAAGCCAGTGGAGATTGGTAAAATTCCACTTGTCTGCCATAACTTCTTGTTTCTAGAAAACTGAATCTAACCCTTTAAGATTAATGCAAAATCTTTTTTAAATTTAAGTCTTCAAATGATAACAATTGCTTCTTCATGTGTGAACGAGGAGAATCTAACATAATATTAAGGATAAATTAAACAAATTAGATGGAGTTTGATATCCATTTGGTTGCTTGTTGAGGCCCTTGCCGTATAGCCAAAGAATTATTAAGGGAAACAACAAGAAGACAAAGAGAAAGCATGATTCATGACCCACTTGCATTAAACGAGTCGCATGTTGGTTTCATGGAGCGTCAAGGATAAGGCACCACTGGTTAGCAGATAGCGTCAAGGATAGGGCACCACTGGTTAGCAGATAGACTTTGAGGGATTATTAGCGACGAAGAAAATTTGGGAGGCTGGCCTTGAAAGATTGGGTTGAATGTCCATTTCAGGAGTTATTTTCTACCGAACTTTTTCCCACTAATCATGCCAAATTCATTGACCATTACGCGTTGGTAACGAGACTTAATTGTACTAGTTTCCATCAATCTTGGCTGAGTTCATGTTATCGTTGTCTTTTTCAAACTTCTTTTATAGATTTATCTGACTTATCCCCTTGGTAAAGGCCAAGATTCCCCATAGCTTCCCATATGAGACTCCTAAAAGGCTAGAGTGATCCATCCGGACTCCATAAATTATACTTGAAAAAGATAGTTGGACAATATATTCCATCTGAGAGGGGACCCAGAAGACAATTTGGTTTGCTTCTGATACAACTTGTATGAGGCTAATTTGTCCTATCCAAAAGACCATCTCCTTACTCAAAAGGAGACCCATCCTCCTTAAAAATGTCCCCCTTAATCGTTCAATATGGCACAATCTCCTTACTCATTCTTTGAACCCAGTCCTTTGATTCAATAACAGAACAAAATTTGCACTAACATTTCTGATTATAAAGGCAAAAGAATTGAGTTCAAAATAAAATTCTAGAATAGATTAGTAAATTCCTGCAAATTGATTATAAGGGTTTCCATCCTACACTTGCATCTTCTGATCAGTCAACAGCCAAATTCATAATAAGTATTTCTATAATTTACTGAAGTAGCTGAACCAATATCCATCAGTTTTAGACCTTGGACATATTGTGAGTGTTACACTTGTTCACCCTCCATTTTAATTTGACATACAGAAATATACAGCATTGTTTGATGCCATGACAGTCACATATAGCAGCATGGCTGCATTTCTGATTTACCTTTCATTAAAACAACTTTTTCTGAATTAGTATATGCATTTCGGCCATAATCATTGTGTCCGCCTCCAGATTCCATGAACTCTTTTTCCGTTATGGTTCCTATTTCTGTTTAGCTAAGTTAGAAACTTGAAGAGAATTTGATCAGTAACTTACACCATACAAGAGGTAAGAATCATGAATATTGTCTTCATAGATTGAGGCTAGCTATATGTAATAAGAGAAATATATATAGGGGTGAGTTTCTTAGGCAATGAATATACCGGTAACATATCAGATGGCAAAGCCTATATAAGCGAGTTTTAAACATCTTGTTACAGTTCGGTCATTGGTGTAAAATCTAATTTAGATAAAATCCTAAGGTGACAAAAGGTGATTGGAGACTTTCCTGCAAATTTTGTATTTTAGTCCGGGGATCAGAAGAGGCGTGATTGCAAGGTTTCAGATATGGCTTAAATCTTTAAGATCCTTCTCTTTGTTGGACCTTTATTTGGGCCATCTACTAGATTCTCAAGCCCTCCAAGTTTTAGCCCATACAAAGTTTGCTGGTACTTTTGAGTAAATCCTGAAAGCAACCATGTAGCATACAGCTAAGAAGTTGACATAGTATGTGAGATTGCCTAGACGGGATGGAATTAGAGCCGCGTTGAACTGATTAAAAGCTAAATTTAGGCACTGCAGATACTTAAGACCGAAAAGTTCAGCTACATTCTCAATTCCACAAGAGACTGATTCGATTGCTCAAGTCAAGACCAATCACAGGGCCAGCTGCATCGTAATCTACACCGCTCCAAGTGCTGCAATCTGTGCTTTGACTCCACTGTACAAGACGTACCAATGAAGTGGAGCTGAATACGAGGTTGCCTTCATTTGGAGTAACAACGAATTGCTGATCTCTTTGACGGAGACCAGAAACCAGAATCATGTAGACTTCTCATTGAAAACTAATTAATAAGCAAATTCTCATGACTGAAACTTGTAACGTGAAAGGAACGATAGACAAGGAAATTTAGGAAAGCAACATTTTGTTAGATTTTCACAGACGTTCGTAGAACATATACCGTAGACCTTGACTTTTTGTCAGTTAAATGCCAAATTCCTTTCATAATCACTTACAGCAAGAATATTGAAAAGAATTTGATGAATAATTTACACCATACAACAGGCAAGGTTCGTGATTATCTGTAATGATTTGGTGCAGACTCTAATTTAGATGATATCCTAGAGTTAACAGACGGTAATTGGAAATATTCCTGAAAATATAGTAATGGTGTTGTTTAAGTGCGAGGATCTGATGGAGGGGGAATAATGGAATTCATTGACCATTGACCAACCTGAGTCACGGAAGATTTTCTCTGGATAATTCACCACCCAGTAGCTGGTATTTGTTATTGTCCACTCGAGAATAAATTCAATATTTTACATCACAATTCATGAAGCTTTGCTTTGTTGGGTCTTTATTTGGGCCGTTGAGTAAGTTTCTGAGGCCTACGTATACTCTACCCCATTTGAAGCATGTGAAAACTAATTTTATATAGGAAAATAATATAGTCACCGACGGTAGTACACCGAATGACATGGTAAAATCCTAAACATTGATTAATATTAACAAGTCATCGACAGTAGTGTACCGAATGATGTAGTAAAATCCTGACCGTTGATTAATTTTAACTTAATATTAATCAACGGTCAGGATTTTATCACGTCATTCGGTACACAAATTCGGTGTATTACCGTCGGTGGCTGTAGCATTACTCTTCTACATAATATAGGGTTGCTATATTAAAGGTGGGCAAACGGGCGCGGTCCCAAATTGGGAGAGACCAAACCCAAATTGGCTAGGACTATCTTGGGCCCGTCACTTTTGTGAGGGCCCGAACTGATGCCAAGCCAGGGCCTGGCTTGTATAAACAAATTACATTTTTAACTCCTAAATTTATTATGCAATTTATATATTATAGTAGGTTTTGATTATTTGTTAGGGGTCTTTTGAAATTAATTGGGCCTGAGCCTGGGAGGAAGGACCGTCTTGGGCCCGATCACCCTTCCCTAAGGCCCGGGCTAGTCTCGGGACCGATCTCTATGGCACCTCTATGCCACATCAAGTAGCATCTCGTTCTATGTTTCTGAAATATGGAAAATTATGTCGCTGAGTATGGAGGGGATTAGGCTGGCAAGAATTAATGATGTCGCAGTTCTTAAGGTTTATAAATAGTTCCCTGTTTTAATGTGGGTTAGTTTAACCCACATCTCATTTGGTGATCCAGTTTTTCGCATCATCAATAGGATTACATTTGATTAATTGATCTTAGATAACTATCACATGAATAGCGAATATAGTTAGAAAATTAAGAAATAGGGAGATGGATAGACAAGACAGGTAGACCAAACGAAGATAACTAAGATGGTTAAGAGATAAAAGTGTCAAATCAATTAAGGAGAACCATAATTAAAGCCCAAAACTAAATTGCAAGAGGCTTTATTTCTAAGCTCATGAAATCAAATCATAAACAACTTGAAATTCTAATAATTCTAATGGCAATAACAAATGAAATCCTAATCTTAATTAAACAATAAACATGAAATAAAGAACTTATAAATGAAACAGAACTCCAAATTATGTACTAATATCCTTCATTTTACCTGATAAATTTCACCTTATACTTGCTGATGAAATCATCATACCATTTGTTTACCTTCTTGGAAAACATCAAGGGTGCAACGACAGCTCCAAAGCCCACCGCGAATCCAATCTCCCTCGTTATAAACAGCCAATCAATTTCACTGTTTGGTGAAGCTGGTGGTGGAGGTAGTAACATGCTGGAATTTGTTGTGTAATTATTTGTCAAAGGAGGGCCATATAATCCTTCATTACCTGCAAAAGAAGATGCTGAAAATGTTTGGAGCTGAGTACCTGATGGGATCCTTCCCGCAAAGTGATTGTTTGAGAGATTCAGGACTGAAATGAAACTAAGGCTTGCAAGCTGTATAGGGATCACCCCATTCAGCTGGTTAGCTGATAGGTCCAAGGACTCCAGTTGTAGTAAGTTCCCTATGGATGATGGGATTGGGCTTGTGAGAGCATTATGTGACAAGTTGAGAAGATGGAGGGATTTCAATAGTCCGATCTCTTCTGGCATTGGCCCTTCAAAATTGTTGTTTGACAAGTCAATGGAGGTGAATAATATTAATATCTTCACTAGCTCCAGCTCCAGACCTTTGCTGGTAACTGTTACTGCATCTTGGTAGTACAATTGGCCGAATGTCAGGAACTGAAATTGAAGGTGTTTGATTTGTGACTGTGCTTCATCTTCATCAGCCATCATTGCTTTCCAGGTTAAGTACTTTCCTGGTATTGTTCCATTAAAGTTGTTGATAGCTAATTCGACAATCTGAAGCTTTGGCCAGGCTCCATTAATCTCTTGACAACTGATGTTCCCATAAAACCTATTTGATCGCAGGACTAGAACGCGCAAGCTGGAAATATTCTTTAACTGACATGGGAATGTATCATTTATTTGGTTGCTACCAAGGTTCAAAACCTCCAACATTGTGCAATTAGCCAGAGATTTTGGAACCATCCTTGTAGATGATTTCCATTGAGATCTAGCGTTTGTAATGCTCTAGATGAACTTGAAACTGAAGAAGATGAAGTACCAGCAGATGAAGAACCTGCAGTTCGTGGAACCAGGACCTTGGCTGATGTTTATGCAAGGTGCAATGTGGCTATGTTAGAACCTAAAACGTATGCTGAAGCTACTGGATCAGATGCTTGGAAGAATGCTATGCAGAAGGAGATTTCCATGATTGAGAAGAACAACACATGGAGGTTAGTTGAAAGACTTGAAAACATGAGAATTATTCAGGTAAAATGGATTTATAAATTAAAACTCAATCCGAATGGTACAATCCATAAACACAAGGCTAGGCTCGTGGCAAAAGGATTTGCACAGTAGCAAGGGGTGGATTACACTGATACATTTGCTCCGGTAGCAAGACATGACACTATAAGGATGATCATAGCCATGGCGGCCCAATTTAGTTGGAAAATTTTCCAACTTGATGTCAAATCTACCTTCCTAAATGGCTGCTTGGAAGAGGAGATTTTTGTGGACCAACCCGAAGGCTACTAAGTGAAGGGTGAAGAAAGCAAGGTGTACATGCTGGAGAAGGCATTGTATGGTCTAAAATAGGCACCTAGGGCCTGGTATAGCCGCATAAACGATTACCTTAACAGCCTAGGCTATGTAAGAAGTCCAAATGAACATATCCTTTATGTTAAAGAAGCTGAAGGTGATTTAATTGTTGTGTCATTGTATGTGGATGACCTGCTGATGACAGGGAGCAATTCGGACCAATTGAAGATGTTTAAGCAATCCATGCAATCTTAATTTGAGATGACAGATTTGGGGGAGATGTCATATTTTCTTGGTATGCAGATTTTTCAGTCCAAAAGTGGAATATTTGTGCATCAGGAAAAGTATGCAAATGAAATCCTCATAAAGTTTGGGATGGAGAATTGTAAACTTGCAGATACACCCTTAGTCTCTAACCTGAAGCTGAGCAAAAATGATGGTGAAAAAGGAGTGGATGAGAGTATGTTTAGAGGTCTGGTAGGATGCTTGCTGTACTTGACAGCCACACGTCCACACCTGATGTTTGCAGTGAGTTACCTCTCCAGATTTATGAGTTGTCCAAGTGAATCTCACTATAAGGCAGCAAAGAGGGTGTTAAGGTATGTGAAAGGAACTTCAAACCTGGGCATTTGGTTTAAGAGAGTAGAAAAATTGTTTCTGTAGGGATACACAGACAGTGACTGGGTAGGTTCCTTAGATGACATGAAAAGTACCTCTGGGTATGTGTTTTACATCAATAAAGGTGCCATTGGTTGGTTGTCGAAGAAGCAAGACTCGGTGGCTAAGTCCATTGCAGAGGCAGGGTAAATTTCTGCCGTAGCAGCAGTGAACCAAGCTGCTTGGTTCAGAAAAATCCTATCTGATTTGAAGCAGGAACAAGTTAGGCCAACACCAATATTGTGTGATAATCAATCAGCAGTGGTAATGGCAAAGAATCTAGTTCTCCACGGTAGGACCAAACATATTAAGATTAAATTTCATGCAGTTAGGGAGGCTAAAAATGATGGGAAAGTGACTTTGATGCACTGCCGGGGTGTGGATCAGATTGCAGATATCATGACTAAGAGTTTGCCTAAAGCCAAGTTTGAGGAACTTAGACTCAAACTTGGTGTCTCCAGCAAATGCATCAAGGGGGAGTGTTGATGCAGTGATGCTTTGCTGGAAATGCATCAAATGCTCAAGTCTGCAGGATTATGTTTTTGGAAAATGCATAATGTTTCATGCAGCAATGGCTTATCGTGCATGGGAGAGTTTTTGTGTAATTGGTTATCTTGTTGTTTATGTTGGAGTTGTCGACTACTTCAGCATTAATGGTTTTGGGTTTTTCCATGTACAACCGCTGTAGGATTTCTTTTAAGTTACTAATTCCTTTTTGGGTTGGGCTTAGGAATAGGAATCCTTGTAAAACTAGGTTTAATCTCTTAAACCTAGTATATAAACATACTTTTCTCTTGTTATGTGTGAGAGAGCAATTCATTCATTGTAAACGAGAGAGGTGAGGCATATTGTAATAATATTTACTCAGCTGGACGTAGCCCACATTGGGTGAACCAGGGTAAATCGCGCGTATTATTTTCTTTATTTACTGTTTGATTTGTTTTACTATTATATTTTGTTCTTGTTGTTGTCTCTATTTCGTTCAGTTTAAAGGGTATTTAAGTAAGTTAATTAGAAGTAAGTTTACTGTAATGTTAGTGTTGAAATTTGAATTTGAAAGCTGTAACTTCTGCTGTAGTTGGTGTAATTAGTAGAGAGTGGATATGAGTTATATATGGTCTTTTTTAATAAAAAGTTCAGAACCTTTTTGTAAACATTTGGGGTGCTCTCTCTCTCTCTCTCTCTCTCTCTCTTAATGTTCTTCGGCTGAAACCAACAGATACAACGGAATTTGCTAAAATAAGTATGAAGAAAAGCCATGACAAGAGTAGACTGAAACTTGTTGTGTTGAAACTTTGTGGTGACTTTATGTAGGAGGATGAAGGCACTTGAAGATGACCATTAAGTTTTATAAGTCCAGCTTATGGCCAATAAAAAATGGTTCAAGCTTGGCGACATGGCAATCGAAGTATGGAGGGAGGTTGATAAATCAAGCAGCAGAAGCGGAGAAATTCAAGGAAAATGGATGGTCAGCAGATAACAGACCCTATAATAACTTCCTACAGTTATTTGATTTTGCTATAAGATTGTTCAAATTCCAATAGAATTCATCCAAACATGACGTGAAAAGAACGGTAGAAAATTAAAGCAATTACGAAAAGCAAGATTTAGCTAAATTTTCACACACGTCCGGAGACTTTCGTGTAGGTTTTTGAGTCTGGTTATGCTAAGAGAAAGAAGGTTAACATGCATGAAAGAGAGTTGAAAAGAGAGAAATTTTTCAGTTCATGTCTGCTCTGTTTTCGTTCATTAACAGGGGAATATAAACACAAGTTTCTTCACTGTTACAACCACTCTACAGTGAGAACTTTTTGCAAATACAATGCATTCTAAACAACCCTAACTAATACAAATTTACAATGACATATATTCGCCTTAATCACCGGCTGTCGTCACCTAAAAACATCACATAATACATTCAAAAAAATCAACCAAAATCCAGCATTGACAGACAGCCTTTACCATACTCTAACTTGGCTCCAAAAATACAAACTTGAATTGCAAATCAGTTTCCAGCAAAATATCACTCTTTAACATTTCGATAGTCCCAAATTGGTTGCCCATAAAATATAGGTAGGAGAGACTTTCGAAAGTCTTAATTAATGGTTCCAACTTCCCAAATGGTAAATGTAAGGTAACATTTCTTTATTTCAAATGTCAAATTTCAACTCAGAAATTTGTTGATGCCAATTGTCCTACCATTTGTTTACTTTATAGGAAAAACACAAGGATGCAACAACTGCTCCAAAGTCTATTGCAAACCCAGTTGTCATCACTATAAACTGCCAATTAATTTCCGTGGAATCTGGAGCTGAAGGCAGTGAGTTGCTGAAATTAAGAATTGAATCTTCAAAGGATAGAATATACATTATCTAATGCGAGCCTGAAAGAGAACGGCTAAAACAAGGTGAACCCTGGCAGATTTGGCACTTGGTAGTCAAGTATTGCAAAAAATTCAATCGGCAAATTTATTGATATCAAGAAAAACAATGTTGACAGTGTTGAAACCACAACCAAAACACACACAATAATAAAAGTAAAAAAGGTAAAGAAGGCACATGAGTTACGTTGGTGCATTCCAATAAACGAACTATATTCAACATTCAAATATAGTATTTTTATTGAGATCATAAAGCTGCAGCAAATACAAGGTAGTTGACGGTAGTTCACTCTTGCTCTCTGTTTTCTTCTCTCCTTAGGTTTTTCACTATTACAAAATACATGTAATAGAAAACCTAATCCCATTTGGGTTTACTAGATCTAACCCAACCCGGCCCCAAATATTAGCAAATTATGAGCCATATCCAACAGAGAACAGTGCTTCCATTGGAAATAAATTTATATATGTAACTGAACTTGAAGAAATAGTAAATTGAGGTGACTTTTTATATAGAATGGTGTAAAAAAAAACTAATGGAAACGTTCTCTTCTTTTGGCGCCCGATAGAATTGATTTAGGAGCCGCAACAAATGGTTAATTCGGCATGGCCTGGCAACTGAAAACTACAAAATGCCAAGTACGAGTGAAAATAAGTTGAAGAAATTGAAAATTCCAGAAGTCAATTTCATGGTTCCAAGATGTATCAAGGAGTAAAATACTTGAATTTAAATTTGAGCATTGTTTTGACAAAGGAGGGTCACGTAATCCTTCATTACCTGGGAAAAAAGATGCTGATCGCTCTGACATTAGCCAGGAGCCAATACCATATGGATACCAATAAAATTTGCAGTAATGGATAACAAGAAAAACGATGTTGCTAGTTGAACTTTCATTGGAAACACACAATTGAAACTTGAAGAAATGATAATGCCCGTCTGGTGACTTTATATAGAATGGCGTATATACATGAACCTTCACGTAATAATTTGTGCATAGGCGTTCCTTAACTGTTTGTTGGTCGACATCGAAATGTTTCATCTTTCAACTTTAATTTGTTTTGGCATGTTTTATCATCTACAATATTCTGGGCTTCTTGGTGACTAGAAAACAAAACACACAATAATTTGAGAGACGCGAAACACCATTTTTACTCCAAACATAATCCAAACTTTCTCATACAATATGTGATGAATATGGTCAGAAATTGTATAAGCCACAGACCAATTTCAATGTTCACATAGTTTTTGTAGTATACACTCGGTATTTAAGCCACCCTTTCAACATCTTTTTTTCATCCAAATGAACAATCTATCACATCAGAATTTGCTTAATCATCATATGAAATCGGATTTATTTGAGGTTTGACTAGGTTTTTTTTCTTAATCAACCATCTTTTCCACACAAGACTCAAGAAACGTATAGTTAAAATTAATGACAAGAATTAAGTTTTGTTCTTGCTAATTTGTCGAACCTTATGTTCACATAAGGATTATCATTCTTTTGCTATCAGTAGCATCTTATTGTGTGTTCTGAAATCTTGAAACTTATGTCGCTGAGTATGGAGGGGATTAGGCTGGCAAGAATGAATGATGTCTCGTCCTTAAGGACGATAAATTGCTCCCTATTTTTAAGGATGGTTAGGTTAACCCACATCTCATTTGGTGATCCAGTTTTTCGCATCATCAATAGGATTATGTTTGATTAATTGATCTCAGATAACTATCACATGAATAGCGAATATAGTAGAAAATCAAGAAGTGGGGAGATGGATAGACAAGACAGATAGTCCTAAGGAGGATAACTAAGATGGTTAAGAGATAAAAGTGTCAAATTAATAAGGAAAACCAAAAGTTTATTCCATAAAGCCCAAAACTATAATGCAAGAGGCTTTATTTCTGAGCTCATGAAATCAAATCATAAAAAACATAGAATTCTAATAATTTTTAATCCTCTAAAAAGCAATAACAAATGAAATCCTGATCTTAATTAAACAATAAACATGAAATAAAGGACTTATACATGAAACAGAACTCCAAATTATAAACTAATATGCTTCATTTTACCTGACAAATTTCACCTTATACTTGCTGATGCAATCGTCATACCATTTGTTTACCTTCTTGGAAAACATCAGGGGTGCAACAACGGCTCCAAAGCCTACCGCGAAACCAATTGCCATCATTATAAACAGCCAATCAATTTCACTGTTTGGTGAAGCTGGTGGTGGAGGTGGTAACATGCTGGAGTTTGTGCAATCAGTTGTCAAAGGTGGCCCACATAATCCTTTATTGCCTTCAAAAGAAGTTGATAAAAATGATTGGAGTTGAGTCCCTGTCGGGATCTTTCCAACGAAGTGATTATACGACACATTCAAGAACGACAGGAAATTTAGGCTTGCAAGCTGTGCAGGGATTACCCCGGTCAGGTTGTTCACTGAGAGGTCCAAGGACTCTAGTTGTCTCATGTTTTCTACAGGTGATGGGAGTGGGCCTGTGAAAGCATTGTAAGACAAGTTGAGAATATGGAGTGATTTTAATAGCCCTATCTCTGCTGGTATTGGCCCTTGAAAATTATTGCATGACAAGTCAATGGAGGTAAATACAGTTAGGATCTTCACTAGCTCCATCTGTAGACCTTTGCTGGTAACTGTCACTTCATCCTGGTAGTATAATGAGCTTAGTGCCAGGATCTCAAACTGGAGGTGTTTGAGCTCTGATTGGGCACTGTCAGCCATCATTGCCACCCAGGTCGTCAAGTATTTTTGAGGTAGTCTTCCACTAAATCTGTTGGAAGCTAGGTCGAAAATTTGAAGCATTGGCCAGGAGCCTTTCAACTCTGGACAATCAATTTCCCCGTGAAATTTGTTGGATCGTAGAACTAGGATGTGCAAACTGAAGACATTGTTTAACCAGCACGGAAATGTGTCGCTGAATTGGTTGTTCCCAATATTTAAAATCTCCAGCTTTGCACAATTGGCCAGAGATTTTGGAACCATTCCTTCTAGCTGATTATCACTCAGATCGACCGTTTGTAGTGTACAATTTTCAGGAAATGTACCAGAAATAATGCCATGAAGACTATTTCTCCTCAAGTTCAGTACACCAAGCTTATAGCTGCTTTCAATTAAACACGGCGGTATCCTGCCACTTAAATTATTGTCTGATAAGTCAAGAACTTGAAGAAATGTAGCATTACATATTGATTCAGGGATAACTCCAGTAAGGCTATTGTCTGAAAGGGAAAAAAACACAGTGATAGAGAGGAAATTACCGATGTCAGCTGGAATTGAAGTGAAAGAGTTATTTGAGTAATCCACATACACAGCATTTGGTGGTAGTTTTGGTATCTTTCCTTGAAGAAGGTTGGAATGTAAGTCAAGAGCACTCAGGTCAGAAACAGAATAAGGTTCTTGCAGACCCACCAGGAGATTATATGAGAAATTTAGATTTATGAGTTTCCCATTACCAACTGCCCAAATCCAGTTAGGTATTTCCCCAGAAATTTTGTTGTCGGAAAGATCTAACTGATATAAGTTCGATTGGTTCTTTAGATTAGGAATTACGTTCAGGTTGCAAGAGGCCAATTTCAATGTGCTAATCTGGGGAGGGAAAGAACCGCTACTACTAGAATTTACTGCCAAGCTGTTGTACGAAAGATCAAGGCTAGTTAGATTACCAAGCTTTTGAAGCATATCTTGCTGTACAGTGCCATTTAACTTGTTGGAAGAAAGTAAGAGGATATGACGGTTTTTAAGTTCAAAAATTGACATAGGAATAGGCCCTTCTAATCTATTGCCACTCAAATCTAGGGTATCCAACTGAGAGGAGGAGGCATCTAAAATTCAGGAATTGGCCCCTGAATCGGTTGTTGGCAAGCAGAAGCTTCTGCAATGATGGGATTGCAAACAGAGACGAGGGAATACTACCATTAAGGGAGTTGAACCTCAAGGTCAAAATAAGAAAGATTCTGAAGCTGTTCCCAACTGGATGGGATCGCATCAGTCAACAGATTATTAGAGAGATCTAGGTAAGTGAGATTTTGGACATGTGAAAGGATGGATGGACCACTGAAAGTTAGATGACAGGTCCAATAAACATTGGGTGAGGTAGCCATTGAAGTGGGAATTGTCCTGTAAAATTGCAATGATAGCCCATTCTTGACAAATTTTTGAGGTTGCCTACAGAATCTGGTAGTGTCCCTGAGAAATTTGTGTCATGGAGCACCAGGGACTGAAGAGAAAGATTCTGAGGAAAGTCTGGCAAAAAACCCTGAAGAAACTCTTTATGAAAGTCGAGAGTCTCTAGTGTGTTATCTGGAATAATTTCTCTGGAACTGCTCCATACAAGCCGCAATTACTGAGACTCAAAGAGGTCAAATTGAGGAAATCAGCCAAAAATTCTGGAACGGGAACGAAGGTTATTACTGTCCAAATTAATTGCTGAGAGTGGCAGCAGATTTGTGAGGAAGAATCTATAGGGCCTGAAAGAAAACAGAAGATAAGCCAAAACACTCAGATTAGGCAGCGAAATGATATGCTGGGCACCATTCTTTCCAGAGGTGATATATTTACACCATCAAGATACAGTTCTCTGAGCTCTGTGGATTTTGAACCAGCACTCTTAAGTTTGGGTTCTCGAGTTCAAAGAGAGATCTCCACGAAGGTAAGACTTGCAAATCAAGTGTAACAACTTTGTCAGCCTGAAATGAACTGGGAATCTGTCCTGCGAAGCCAGCATTAGAAAGATTCAGTAAGTCAAGTTTGTGAGATTGGCCAACCTGGACGGAATTTGAATTGCATTGAATCATTATAAGCCAAATTTAGGCTACTCAGATTCTGAAGAGCGAATAGACCAGTCGCATTCTCATCCACGGAGACTGATTCATTGCTCAAGTTGAGACAATAACATGTCCAGCCTCATCACAATCCACACCACCCAATTACAACAATCTGTGTTTTGATCCCACTGCGCCAGATTTACAGATGAAGTAGAATTGAACACGAGGCTGTTCTTCATTTGGAGTAACAACGATTGCTGACTGCTCTGACATTGCCAGAAACCAAAACCATATGGTGCCAAGAAAATTGCTAAAAGGAGCACCAAGAAAAGCCTGAATAAGAGTAGACTTCCATTGATAACAATAAATAAAAAGTACGTTCAATTTTCCTTGTCAGAATTTCTCTAAAACTCTCACCTGTAATGATAGATTTAAACTTGAAGAATGATAAAAACTTGTTATATGACGTATATAGGAGGGTACACAGTCAATCACATTAATACGAACTTACAGTTCCTTTGACCGCGAGCATGGTGACCATGAAGACTAAAAATTCAACGGTCCCTAAGGTTTGCTTAGTCAAACTGGTGGCCCTTTTCCACGAAATTTAAGTATGTTTGCCGCACACATACTGATGGATTCACAATAAAATTTCCAGGAAAAGGGTCATGAATGTGACTAAATAGGTTTGATAAATTTCTCCATATAATTTTCTACTTGTGTGTTTATTCTAAAGATTCATTCCTCTTTTTCCCTCTTGTGTGCGAAAGACTTGTGAGCAGTACCCTAAGGTTCTGGTTTTTGAAGTCAAACCAGGAAATCAAACCACCACTAGGAGTTTCCCAGACTTTAATCTTTGATGTGGAGTGGAGGGGGGGCAACTCAGAGACTTCAAAGGTCGATGCTGTTTGCTGCCAGAGATAAACAAACTGACGAGGAATTGGAGGAATGGTACAGGGTGGATAAGATTTTATTGGATGAAATTTTTGCTCTTCATAGTAATTTAGTTTAAGAATATTTGGCTGTGGCCTAGATGGTCAAAATCCAGCTTACTCAGTGATCTTGTGTTCGAGTCTCACTAAGTGGACAGTTTACATAAAGCTGATCTGGACACCGAGTCACCAAAAAAAAAATATAGTGTATTAATTTTTCTTTGACCATACTTCTGTTGAAGTATTTTTGTTTTAAAGTTCTTTATATCATTTAATTTATTTATGAATTCAAAGTTTCTTCTATTTGCTAATTGATTAAAATAATAGAGATTTATTTATTGTTAAGAGTCTTTCTCTACTTTTCCATATTGAGTATATATAATGAAGACTTTTGTGTAATAGGACAAAGAATGAGTAGGTAAGGTCGTCAAAGTAAACGGCCTATTATATTATCATGCAATCCTTAATTTTGAAGTTGTTTATTTCATTATTAAGATATACCTTCCTCTACTTTCTATATTGAATATGTCAAGAGTCAAGACTTTAGTTTAATACGAAAAAAAAGAATCAGTACGTAAGATTCGTCAAAGTAAATAGCTTATTATCTCCATCTAGTAATGTAAATCAATTAACATGTGTAATTTATTATTAACATTTATTTTTTTTTTTTTTTTGGTAACTAGATATCTGGACTAACTTTTACACACATAAACTAATTTTCGAGATTATTAAACACCTTAAAAACTTAAATGACTAAGGTTGCGTTTGTTTCGGTATTTAACACTTTTGAAAAAAGTTTTCTGACAAAAGTTGGTGGAGTTGTATTTAAATTTTCTGAAAAAGTGTTTGCATTTGGTGGAGACTTGTTTATTTATTATAATATCAATAGATGTGTCAGAAAAAAATTGTTTGCATTTAATAATGTGCTGCGCGCCTGCGCCTTGTGTGTCACCTTATTCCCACGCCACTCGCGCCATCGGTTAGCTGAACGCAGGGGTGTTTTTGATAATTATTGAACTTTTCAATTCATATTTAAATAATATTAATTAGTTGTTTGGTAATTTTTATGGGTTTAATTAAAAACAATTTCTCCTAGTTGTTCAACTACTAATATATATTTAAAAATACAACATTAATATATATCTAAATTAATAATACAAAGCTATTAATAATCATCCCTCAAAATGACTGTACCCCAATATTCAGTTATCAATACGAAGACAGTAAATATAAAAATATCTTATATGTCAACAGAATCAATAAAGACTAACAACCGAAAATAAGTTCAACAACAAAGTCCTAAACCGTCATCTACGGACGACGGATATCATTATAAACCCAATATTCCCTGTTCGCATGTGACATGTTCACCATAAGCGACGCCACTTGGGTTGGCAATTAAGTACTTCACAGCATCCAAATATACTTGCGGTGGAAGTTGCATACTTTCCAAAATTGATTGACAATTTTCCATGGATATCGATCCGTCCAACCACTTGTGTTCTCTTGGGTCCCATCACCGCCACTGCGAGTTGATGCCGCAGATCCATAGTTATTGGAAATAGCTTGCGCCAACTGAGTCATCGCACCCAAAAATGGGTTTCCCTCCTCGTCTCTCCTTCTCCTCCTCCTATTTACGGATCTGCTATCTCCAGACCTATTAGATCGTTTTTAGTTGATCTATCTGGATAGGATCGAAGTCATCTTCATTCATGTTTGCCTCGATGGGTACGGAAAAACACGCGGTGGATGCGCAGGTTCAGATGCAGATGTGAAAGCAAATTGCCAGTTGCATTTTCTTTCGAATATGACCTCATTAACTCTCTATCAACGAGTCCTTTATGTAGGAATTGCTGCGCACCAGGGCTTTGCTGTTATTGAAAAACAAACATACACATTAATTGTATTTACCCAAAACAAAAAGTGCATACCGACTACTGCGTTATAAGAATTGGAAAAAAGAAAAGGGACGTACCTTTATAATTTTCCCTATCTCTTTGAGACATGTTGGAGTTTGGGACTCGTGATCAACCAAACCCCGTATGTCCTATTAGCTTACGCCAAGACCTGTATGTTGATCGCAAGCATTGGTACTTAGAAGCCAACTGTGCACTTCCAATTTCTTCTGCGCTACATTTGTAATTGTTCACTAATTCTCCTATGGTCAGAAGCTCTTATTGCAGTAGTGGGTTGTTTTCACCGCTCAGCCAACAGTTCTAAGAACCTATGGGGAGTTCAGCAGTCCATTAAACGGACTCACTCATCTAATAATAGTAGGGTGAGAAGAACAATCATGATTGAAATATGAGATAACAATTATGATACATATCAATATAAACATATGCAACATATAACATATAAACAAAACATACAAAAAAATTACCTCGTTTGACCCAACACTGCTTTCAACAGAAAGTACGGGGGACACGGTCAAGGTAGCCAACAAGGTCTTTTGTGTATCCCAATTCCGAATAAACGTCGACCTGTCTTCTGGCGTCGAAAGTATTGATCAATTCTGCGATGGTGGGCTGAGTGACATGTACAATTGTTCATGGCATTGTAAGTAACTATTGCGATGAACTTGCAGTTATCAACCTACAAATGATTAATACATAAGTTAGACAAATCATCACCTCTTCAAACCATTGATTAGTTTGCTAGAAGAATAGAAACGGACTGACTTTCCAGCCTTTAAATTAACTCTGCATATAGAAATTTGGATTAGCTGTCCTGCATACGAACCTGGACTGACTTTCCAGCCTTTAAGTCCTGGACATTCTCAAGCAATGTATCATAGTCAGTGCAGCGTGGATCTGTTCCAAGTAAGAGAAAATATCTGAACCAACATCAACACTGTGTGCTCCTCTCAGCTCCTAGATTAGACTTTGATGATGAATTCCAGCATCATCTTATTTGCAAGCATCAATTTGCAATAAAATAATCTACAAATTCTTTATTCATAAGGCACAAAATGCAAAAAGGAAATGGGTCAGAGTTAGAGAAACAGCCAAGGTTAATACTTTCAAATTATTATGCTCACCTAACAAATAAACCAAGATTTCGTCATAATTAAATCAGACAATAAATGATTATAAAGACCATATACATTCTCCAATCTTGTGAAGAAATTATCAGCTTTCCATAACTGACACTGCGGGCTACCTCCCTATTCAAAAATAGACATTAAGTGTTTCTTAAAATGTTGAGGCTTCTGACTTTAGCTCAATGGTAGGACTAAGTTAAAAAATTGTTGTCAAAGATTCAACAAAATTCTAAATGTTGCCTCACAAAATAAACAACAGCCATCTTAGAGAGCAAAAACGTTTCTGTGCATTAATGGTTGACAATTTAGGTATATGATCACACAGAGAATAGCTCTCTGTAAAAGTTAGATAAGACTAAATTAATTGTTATGCAAACAATTCTTGACACAGAACTAAACTACAACAAATTACTCAACCATCACAAACCATTCATAAATTCCCACATTACCAACCACCCATCAAAATTGAAACTTTCCAAACAAGTCCTCTGTCAAACCATATAACACAATCACAAGAACATACTACACCAAAATTCCACCATATTCACAACACATTCTGCAAAACGACGTCCCTACCGTTTCCAGAACACAAAAAACACAACTGGGTTTTAAGTTTCACTGCATCATACAATAAAAATTGCCATTTTTTTTTCAGTTTCATTTCATTAGGGTACAAAATAGTAATATGTAAAGCTTAGAAATTGAAAAAATAAAAATCAAAATAAATTCTGAAAGTGGAAGGTACCAACAAATCAGTGATGCATTTGATTGAAAGTTGAAACTGAGAATTGTTCAAAGAGTAGCCCTAATTTGCGCAGGGTGGTGATGAGAGCCGTTTTATATATCCTGCGCCTCTTTCTTACAACTACGCTTTCTCGCTGTCCACCCGTGCTCTTGATGACTCAGAAAACGACTCGTTGAAGGATTAGAAACCAACAATGCTTTGGTGGAGAATAGTGGAGTAAATGATGAGATTTCAGGAAATGAAAGCTTTGTAGCGCTGGGCGAGAAGGAGGAAGAGAAGATGTTCAGTGTGCTTCAATATTCGTTGATGGACTGAGTGAGAAGAGAAGTCACGGGTGTATGTAGAGAAGATGTCAGGTGTTGGGAAAAATAAATGCGAAAAACTCAACGGTCAAAAAATACTGAGTTGCATTTGATGGAATCTGAACCAAACAAAGTGTTTACTGTACCCTTTATTGAGAAACTCATTGACAAGTTTTTTAATACCGAAACAAACGCAGCCTAAGTAAACCACAATATTATTGTGATAGGTAGCCCCATGGTTTTAAACTCAAGAACTTAAGGAAGAGAACAAAAATTATTGACCATCAAAACAACTTCTTGGGGTTTATTATTAACATTCCTTCCTCCACATTTCTTTATTTATTAGTAAATAGGTTCTTTGATTAGTATGGAATGGGATGTGAACATTCAATTGTCTTTGGGGCATCCAATCCTTTGTTGGAAGCATCGAGTAATCTTTGTCGTTAGGGTAGGAGCATAGAAGATGCTAGTGTCACGACTAACCACGATGGAGAATAAAAGTCTATTCTATTGTGAAATGAATGAATTCTAAGACTAGCTAGTTTTATATATGAATTTTACAAATAGATTCAACGGTCTAGATTCATACATATCTATTAGGAAAATGATAGAGTTATCAAAAAGTGTACACCGAAATTGTGCACCAAATGACGTGATAAAATCATGACCGTTGATTAATATTAACTTATAATAAATCAACGGTCAAGATTTTGCCACGTCATTCGGTATAAAATTTCGGTGCACACCCGTCGGTAACTATAGCATTACCTAATCTATTAAGATTGATGGTTAAGATTAAATATACAAGCAATAGAATCCTAATCTTATTTTGTTGTTGGTGAGGAATATTCTGGTTTTAGAATAATTCTCTGGCATATCTCTTAATGCTTTTGAGTCAAGCCTCTTAAACAGAATATTAGGCCTCGTATGGACTTGAGTTTGGGCCGGACATGACACTAGGTGAGTTAGGACGAAAATGTCCTTAGCAAATGCAATGTAACTATTCCTACTTTAATAGACTTTTATCAATTACAGTCCTCATCTTTATTCATTTATCATCTCACAATTTTGCTTATTTAAACAATCCTTTATTTACTTTTTTACATTTTCTGTAAACAATCATTTATCATCTTTATTTATGTTTGTATTATATATTTATTAAGGGGTCAACATAGTTATACAAGTAAAATCTCTCTATAATCATAATGGTAGAATCAACTAATTTTATTATTATAAAAAGATTATAACTTAAAAGAGGTGTAGTTACAAAAATTATTGTTTTGATTTTTTATTTTATAAGTCATATTTTAGTAATACAGTATTATGATTTAGGATTTTAATTCATATTTTAGTAGTATTAGAATTTCAATTCAACGCTTCAATTGCTTACTTTTGAAACGGATATAAAATTGTGTCTTAGAACTAACAAAGATAAGTGTCATTGATGGAACTGTAAATACAGTTGATGCATGATCAATTGATGTGAAGCCACAGACAATTGTCAATGGTTTTAATCACTACAAAATTAGGACTCTCAATGTCAATGAATTGCAAGTTCCAAATGAAGTGGATGAGAATAATCAAAGAGTCTTGCATAATTGAGTGATTAGATTCGACAATTTCATTACACTAATCAAATTGATATTAATTTCTTCCTCGATCATCTAAATGAGCAACAAATCATGTATGCTTTAATTGAAGAAGAAATCATTGCTATAATGAGACAATAAAAGAAAGGAAAAAATCTTGAGGATGATAGTACGCAAATATAAAAGTTTCGTACCATAAAGCTCTAAACATGCTTGAAAAGTTAAAAATATTTTGGCTTCAACAAGAAGGTGTCTATACTAACGAGCTCTTATGTACTCTTAAGTTAAAATATATAGTAACAATTCTAAAACATAAATCATTGTCCCAAACAACTTTAGATAATTATTTTATTTCATCTTAAACCTTTAATATAACATAAAATATATTTTTTGTAATATACAGATAATTATTACTATGTGGAGACAACTTTCTTTAAGACGAGAATTAGAAAAATTAGAACTTATTGCAATGTAGAGTTTATTATTATTTATAACTATCCCAAATTGGGACTAGAATTTTTTACGACTATATAGAGTTTATTCCTATATATAGTATCATTATAGAGAGGTTTTACTGTACTCATAGCGGAAGATTGGTGATAATGCTCAAAGTACTGTAGGTATTTATACAATTATAATAAAGTTTGGGGGAGGTCAAATATTAACCCAAAAATAATGAGGAACACGAACCGGCGGCCTGAACGTAAAGTATATCGAGTTGGTCCGATCTTTTTCTAGGGTTTACATATAAATGTAATAACAGTTCCTTCTATTTTTCAATCAGGGTTTCAAAGGCAATTGAGAGAGAGTGAGATTTTGTGAGCCCAGTCACCATGAGAGCGAAGGTAAGTTCAAAATCTCTTTAGGTTGAAGGAACTGATTCACTTCGACATTTGGTATTCTTTCTCCAAAGACTAGTTGGGTTCAGTTCAATTTGGCTACTTGTTTTTTAATCCACCTTTTTTTGGTAATTGTTATTACAGTGGAAGAAGAAGCGCATGAGAAGATTGAAGAGGAAGAGAAGAAAGATGAGACAGAGATCTAAGTAGACGAAGAGACATGAATCCATCTTTTTAGAGGTCTTCTAATTTGTTGTTTTTAAAGTTTAATGTCGTTTGTTTTGGTATTTTGATTTAGTTGAATCTGACGTTGAATTTTGAATGTTTCTACAACTTCGATAGATTTAATCTAATGGAGATTATTAGTTTGGATCTAATTGTTTTGATTCAGCTTCTTGTTTTAAGTATGCTTTTACTCTATAATTTTATTTTGGGTTTGTGGTAGGGTTTTGTTTACTCTATTTCTTATGTTTATGATGTGCTTTTCTTCTCAAATAACTATTCACAACTTTGGTTTATTAATAAGTCTGACACACTTGAATCGGAGTGGAACAGATGTATTCCTCCATTAATTTGTTTATATTGTAGATTTATATTGTAGTTTTAACTATATTATTTGAATATTCAACTTGGGTTATGGAAATAAAGAACGTGATCAAGGGGGAGAAGGAAGGATGGACCCGAGTTTCTGATCTCTGCAACTAAGAAAATTGTGCTTCTGCAGGTCAAGTTAAATCTCCTTAAACTGTAATTATCAATGTGATGGTTCATATTCTTTAGGTTGTGGTAAACATTATGTTTTGATAACGAGGATGGATACGATGATAGTTTTGTGGTGTCTGTGAGTATATGGGTTAATGTTTTTAATTAGATGCCACTGGGTAGTATTGACTAGAATTGGAGGTGTATAAATTTTCCAGTAATGATTTCTGCTCCGATTTTGACGACATTATCATTAAGGTTGGATTTGTTTGAAACTGTTATGTTTGGGATGTATTACGTCCATTTCCACATCTCAGCTCCCATTTGTAGTTAGCACAAAGACAAACATTGTTAGGCTTGAATCCCGGGATTTACTGCTTGTTTAACCTTGCAAAGATGTGTAAAATTTGAATTAGTTGTCATTCTAATTGGCATCAGTTGGTTGGAGTAAAGCCATTGGGAATCCCAAAATAGGCTTGGTTTTGATTCTATTGGAGGATTTATACACCTAACGTCAAGGAAACAACTATTTTTTTTGGCGTGATGAAAAGAGGTTTTCTTGGCATTTTGTCTATTATAGGGTGTTAACTTTTGCGTTCCTTTGTAGAATTACAGAAAGTTAGAATCTTTGAGACAAATGATTTCAGCTCTATATGAAGAATGAAGAACAGGAATAAAATAAAGCAACTACTTCCTATTACAATTGCTTTGATTACCTGACATGGTGTTTCTAAGATCAATAAGGACCAAAGACATACTCAAGTACTCAACGATGCATTGAGAAAGCCAGATATCCAGAGTGGAAGCCAAAATTTCAACGGGGCGATTACCCTGTCTCTAACTAAAATCAGTTGAAGTTGGTATTCACACCGTTTCACTAGTGCTGAAATCATCTTGGTATACTGTTGCAGAAGCTCCAAAGCTCATGGGTGGGAATATTTCCTTTTCCCCTGTCATATTCAACCATGTTTTCGGCACTAGGAATGTCAACAGTAGGTTTTGTTGACTGTAAATCTTCTTTGAGCCCTGCAGCAGTCTGTTGCAAACTGATGCTTTGGCTGCCTTGCTTTGCTGTTTCTTCTTTCTCCTTGTACTTTAACTGCCTTCCTTCAGCCTAAAGAATTGCATGGCAGGCTATTAAAGCGACAAGAATAACACATTTGTTCATGGATCGGCTTTCCACCATCTTTGCAGAAGGGACAAATTACTTAAATGATGGAATATTGAGAGCTAGCTGAGGGAATATCGTTCAAACAACAAGAGATTTGATGAGGAAGAAGCTATAAGGAGGTAGATAGAATTAATTCAACACGATGATGACAAGCTTTCGTCTATTTAGGTATTTATAAGCTTAAAAAGCATGCACTGTGAAGATCCTAAACACAAATCATCATTTCATTAACTATAAAATTAAAATAAGTGGACCAGCGTCCAAACCAGTTTCGACGGCTCATGTGTAGCAAACATTTAAACAGTAGTAATTATAAGCACTTGCCCTCGCTGTTGTTCCAGTTCTTTATCACATTGTAAGGTCCATCATGGATCTCAACTTCAATGGTATAACCACCATTGAAAATCAGGAAGATGATAGTCAAGAAGCATGTCTTTCAGTTCAAAACCCAAAGAGCTTCTAGTTTCCTCAATTAATTACTAACAGGGTTTCTTATGGTTGGTTTTCCAAGTATAAGACAATTACCAGACACCAAATAATAACCCCACATACCTGGAAGCTGCCATCATCAATGCAAGCAATTACGTGCTTCTCAGGCACAGCCTGTGCATACCCAAGAGTTACACCAACTGACCATCCAATGCATCCATATTGCATTTGGAACTCATACCTGCAAAACCGTACTCAAATTATACCTTAAAATTTATAAACCCCGCTAGGCGCCAGAAAAATCATCAATAATTAATCTTTTGCTCACCCGCATCCTTTAACCAATTTAAGTTTTTGGCAGTTAAACCAAGAGTCCCCTGTCTCAGCAATCACAGCAGTTTCACTAGACAACATATTTTGTATATGTTTGAACAGAACATTCACCCTCAGTGCCTCTTTAGGTTCCCATTTCAGAGCAATCCCTTCAGGAACATAAATCCTGTGGTAATTGTCATAAGCAGTAGTGTTGCGCTTACACTACTGCTTGAGCCGCTTTCAAAGTGCTTTCAGGAAATCCTTCATCAAAACACACCCAAATGCAGTTCCATTCACAATAACAACACGATCAGGCTGGAGAATGATTGCCTTCTCTTCCTTCAGAAGAAGAGGGTATCCAACAGAGCTATAGTCATTAAATATAGGTCCCGCAAACAAATAAGCATCTGCAGATTCCACAATTTCAGCACAAAAAGCTGTGCTCACTGCATCCCAGTAAGTTCCAATAAAATGGGGATGATGCTCTGGCACTAGCCCTTTTGCCGAAGGCATCACCGCAAGGGCATAACCACAAGCATCAGCAAGCTCAACAAAAGCATCAGATACCTAGGCAACTCTCAGCTTAGGTCCACCAACCAACATTGGTTTCACTGCCTTGTTCAATAACTCTGCTGTTGCCTCAACTGCAGCCTCCAAGCCCATCTTATTACTCAATTTGCTCACTCACAATATAAATAAAATATTAATTCACAAAGAAACAGTCACATCAACCGATCATATCTTTTAACACTTAAAATAAGCCATGACTTAAGTCTTAAGAGATTACTTGGGAGAAAGTGCAAATGGAACTGGCTCACAGCTGAAAGTAGGATGAGGAATCGCAGGCAAGTAACAACTGATACTGATATAAACAGGCTTGCTTTCTTTCAAAGAAGTTGATATCGCAGTATCTATCAATTCATATGCATCTTCCAAGTTATTCACCACAGCCTACCAAAGAAACATACATCAAAGCCATCATCATTTATCAAACTAATTCACACATCAACAAGAACTTCCAAAACCCATGAACACAGTATTCAAGCTCAACGTAAAAAATTAAAAAATAAATCCAACATATCAAATTCACTTAAAGGTATCTTTTCTTTTTATATTATAAAAGAGACTACTTTTTAATATTATTAATCAACAAAGAAAACAACTTCCTTATAATTTAGGATCATACCTGAAAGTAAGTAACCGTCTGGAAGCATCTGGTTCTTGGCTAAAATCAGGCAACCCAATAGTGTGATGAGGGATCCTGTTTGTTCCATAATCATTTGAGTTTGGCCCTCCAACTATACAAATCAGAGGCAAAATTTTCACTGTAATCGCCAGCAATTGCATTAAGCACGCTAAGACCACCGACGGTGAAAGTAGCTACACACGCGCCGACACCTCGCGGCCGCGCTTACCCATCTGCGGCATACCCAGCATTCAGTTCGTTACAGCAGCCGATCAAGTTAAGCCCGGGCTCAGCGATTAAATGGTCAAGAAGAGTCAAGTTAAAATCACTGGGGACCGAGAACACCTCGGTGACACCAACTTGAACGAGTCGGCGAGCGAGGTGGCGACCGGGAGTCAACTCGGACGGGTTCACTATTGAGGACGGTGAAACAGAGCTTTGGATGGTCGAAACAGCCCCGTTTGCTGGGCAAGCCAAGTCATTACAGGAAAGCTTGCAGGTGTGTAGTCAAGTGATCCAATCTTTGTGTGACTGTCCATAACGGCGGCGGCCAATAAATTATGTTTAAAAAGGCCAAGTCCCTGTGCAAACGCACATTCGATAAAACTCCATTAAAATATTGTCATATTTGTGCTTATCTGGAAAGGAAGATCAATAATAGATGGAATTCAATTTTGGAAACTTTTTGTGCATTTAGCAATCTCTATTTTATTTATTCAATATTTTATAAATTAATATGTGGATTTTAAAATGTGATTGCAATGAAATTATATTGAATTTTGTGATTCAATCTTTAAGATTTCATGCATTAATTTGTGTTTATGTTTGTGCATTAGTCTAACACTATGACCCGGGCCCGGGGTTGTGTTATGAGCCGAAATTATGAAAGACTTAATAATTTTTATTTAAAATAATAGCATGGCGGCTGAGTCGACAGAGAGACTTTGTAACATACATAAACGAGCTAGCTTCAACATGGAATTATATGCACTGAGTTAAGAGACCTAAATGAACAGTACATGAACTTAATGTGTATGTACATGTTTATGCTTTTGGTTCTGCACTATTGTTTGAAAGCAGATGGCCAACGCCAGGGCCGTGTCCAGGTGTTGTGGGTCGGGAATTTTGGTTATTTCCTGGAGAAGAATGTCCACCATTAAGGCTATGATCTCCTTCGACATCTTCTTCCTCTTTCGCATGTTTATGGCCAACTACACCAGGAATGTTACCTGGTGTTGTAGGTCGAAAACCATTCTGGTATACTGTTGCAGAAGCACCAAAACTCATGGGTGGGAATATTTCCTTTTTCCCTGTCATACTGACAGTCTTTTCACCACTAGGTTTTGTTGACTTTAAATCTTCTTTGAGCCCTGCAGCATTCTGTTGCAAACTAATGCCTTGGTTGCCTTGCTTTGCTGTTTCTTCTTTCTCCTTGTACTTTAACTGCCTTCCTTCAGCCCAAAGAATTGCATGGCAGGCTATTAAAGCGACAAGAATAACGCATTTGTTCATTGATCGGCTTTCCACCATCTCTGGAGAGGGGACGAATTACTTAAATGATGGAATATTGAGAGCTTGCTGAACGAATATCGTTCAAACTA